CTACTTTATTTGTTTGAAAAAATGTTTATGTTGGCCAATCGCCAAAATTAAATGTTTTACGCATTTATTTAAAAGAAAAAAATATTCACTTTTATTGAATTCCACAGATTAATGTCTAAATCAAGCCCCATTATTTAAATCATCTTAATAACTGTAAAACAAAAATTTTACAAATAAGATGCTATAAACATGTCTGCTAAGGAGAATATTTCAAATACTTCAGCACAACCAGCGCAATGGGAGTTAGCTACGACCAGATGGGTTTTTTCTCCCAACCCAGAAAAAACATTGCTATTTCCCAAATTCACCGTAGTGCTTGTGTCCAAAAATTCTGCTCTAATCGTGCGTCGAACAAAAAGCATCTCGCATTTTGTTCTGGTTTGGTGAATGATCCCAAATTTTTTGCCTTCAAGTTACAAAACTCCTCTCTATTTGATATTCTGCCAAGTCTTTAAACTCTTTGAAGTATTTCAGTACTTCATTTTCTTCATCACAGATCGGCATCAAGCAAACCTTCTTTTTATAGTTTTAAAATCTTGAACTTTGGAATGTTTCCATGTACGTTTTCCTTAATTATTTTTTACCATTAATATTTTACTTTTCTTTCATTCAACTTAGATTTCCTTGCCAGGAAGCATGGTTGCCAGTTTTCTGTATTTACCTGCTAGACATTATTATTGAACTTCTTCAATTAACACTCTTTTATTGTTGTATACTTTACAGCCCTTGTTATCAAACTTAAGAGGATTGTTATTCTTAATTAAACAGATAACAAATTTGTTGCTAATTGTGATACACAAAGTATATTTCTCACACATATTTCAATAAAGTTTTCTCTAACTAACCTTTCATTCAAAAATGCCAAAACAGAATTTCTAATTAAATAAAGATGCTTTTTGTTATCAGCTTCTATTGAAATTTTATTTTGTTTCTTGTTTTAAAAATACTTCTTTTTGTCAGAATACTGATAGGCAAACTGACTTTTAGAATGGCACACTTGTTGCACAAGCCGTATTTGATTCAGTTTGACACGACGTATCCAAAAATTTAACTTTTATTCTGTCTGTCGTGATTCTTATGCCAGAGTGTATATATTAGGTGGCTCAACCTTAATCACATATTTGCCCGTAGAGTCACTATTCTCCCTACAGATATTTAATGGGTGTTTTTTTTCGATGTATAGAATTTTAAGTTGGCATTACTGTTCAAGATGGCGACCGATTTAACAGCTGTCAAGTGATTTATTCTCAGTTTTGTATGGCAATTCATCATGAATAGACTCACGCCTGAACAACGCTTGCAAATAGTGCAATTTTATTTCGAAAATAATGGTTCTGTGCGGAATACGTATCGCGCACTACGTCCAATTTATCGTCGACAAAATCGTCCATCGGAGCAGTTAATTCGATTAACGATGGAACGTTTTCGCACCACGTTTACTCTTATTGATAACTCGCATCCCCAGAGACGCCGTACGGTGCGTACAGATGAATCTATTGCTGCTGTAGAGCGTAGCATTGAGGAAGACCCCAATGAGTCCATCCGCCATCGATCACAGGAATTGGATCTGTGTCCATCCACTTTATGGAAGATTTTGCGGAAGGATCTTGGTTTACGTGCTTACAAAATCCAACTCGTGCAAGAATTGAAGCCAAACGATCCTCAAGTAAGGCGTAGATTCGTCGAATGGGCCCAAAACGAGCTTGCCGTTGTTTCATAAGCGAATTTTGTTTAGCGATGAAGCGCACTTCTGGTTGAATGGCTACGTCAACAAAAAAAAGTGCCGCACTTCTTCAAAAACGATGATGGCCAGAACGTTACAGTCAACGGTGATCGGTATAGAGCTATGATTACTAACTCTTTCATTCCTGAATTGAATAACCATGATGTCCAGGAGATGTGGTTTCAACAAGACAGCGCAACACATCACACAGCTCGTGCCACAATCGATTTATTGGAAGACACGTTTGGTGACCGCCTAATTTCACGTTTTGGACCTGCGAATTGGCCTCCAAGATCTTATGATTTAACACCGCTAGATTACTTTCTGTGGGGCTATGTAAAGTCATCGGTCTATGCGGATAAGCCACAAACGCTTGACCATTTGGAAGACAACATTCGTCGTGTTATTGCCGATATACGGCCACAAATGTTGGAAAAAGTCGTCGAAAATTGGACATCCATATTGGACTACATCCGCGCCAGCCGTGGCGGTCATATGCAAGAAATAATATTTAAAATATAATGTCACAAGATTATCTTTCGGATAAATAAAATTAAAAATAATCCATCGTTGTTTTGTTGCAACTTAAAGTTCTATACATCGAAAAAAAAACACCCCCTATCAGTGACCTTAGTAAACCTATTCTTCTACTGAATCCACTATTATCAAAGACTTATCTTGTCTATTTAGTCTGGGCTATCTTGGTACCATTCTCACGACCACGAAACTTTAATGAAAATTAGACGATATTTTGACCTCTTCTTACTCCTTAAAAACGATTCTTTGTATTCTGCACTTGGCGCATAACCTATTAAAATGTATATCGGGAGCAGCAGGAGCAGCAGCGGTTTTGTGTTTTGTGGGCTGACGATGGTAGTCGAACAATCAGAAAACTATGGGCATTACGGTTAGGAGTCTCATTGCAGTTGGAAGCAGATAATGTCCAGTTGTTTTGTACAGAAACGTGAACACTCACAGCATATTTTTTTCTTTTTCTAAATTTTTTTTACAAAAAAAAGAAGTACTTCAAATACTTTGCGATTTATTTTAACTTTTCCAATATTTGCATTTCATTCTGTCCAAGACTATTGCTTGGCCTTAAGAAAACTATTAGCCAACGGGGCTCTTGTTAGGTTTAATCCATATAGCTATTAGATATATAGAGGCCCTGCCTATGCTAATAGAATAGGAACTCGTAAAGCAATTATGCAAGAAAATTTTGAGGTCTGTTAAATATGCGCATGCGCGAGATTTGAAATTTTGTTTTTAATCAATCGCAGCTCTAATTGCAAATTCTGAATTCAAGAAATTTAAAAACTAGTATATAACAAGTCAATAAACAATTAGCTGTGAATGTAACAGAATTAACATTACCAAACGCTAAAGAGTATTGTTTATTGTCTCAAAATTTAGCAAAAGTTGCATTGTGGCTACTGTAAAAAATTCCCCGTCAAAAATGTTTAACAGCAATTGCTTTAAATACTAGTATCAATTAGCACAATAATTTTCCTATTTTTCATTGCCATCTGGATTCAAATGTAAACAACCAAAAATCACTTTTCCAGAAATGCTCGAAATGTTTTAGTAAGTGTAAGCTCACATGAAACAAAAGGAAAATTGTCTTATTAAGACATATTTTTTTCCAGATGCACACTCCAGTCCTGTAGACAAGATTGTGGTTTATGCCACAACTACAAATTACCTTTAATTATAATAGCATTGCATAGCATAGCATAACAGCAGTATTTCATTAACTCGTTTCGAAGTTCACAGAAGATATAGTTGGAAAATGAACACAATGTAAAAATTTAAATGAATGTGTATATGAAAATTAGTCAATTTGACGCATGCGCAAAAGATCCACACCTTCTCTACGAGAATATCATAGCCACCTGCGGCGCAACATTTTTTACCATAGTAGCGCCACTATATTATCTAATAGCTGTATGATTTAATCCAATAAATCCAACTCTACTGATCCATTTTTGTGAACAAGCTGAGATTAATAATTTTGTTTGCGCAGGAAATATGGTCCAATAACTTTAAAGTGTTTTATTCCAGCCACACATTAAGTGACCAATGATTTTGGTTTTGCACTTCGCGTACCCGGAATGGATGAACTGTTGAACAATTCATGTCATGACGATTACTGCGAAAAGTAGGTTCATCGGATAACATTATTTTAGACAAAAAATTTGTTTATGTTTATTAGGGTACTTCGTCTTTTAAAGTTTTCTGTCAACACCCGGTATATAAATCATATCAATTGACCCAGCTTTAGGAAAACCTATACTAAGTTTCCTTTTTAAGTTACGGACACCACAATAAATTTTATGAATTTATTTATTTAGTTGTCATGTAAAAAATTGACAATTGTCATTTTGTCATGGTCAACTAATGTTATGTAAAAAAGTCTTAGACAGAAAGAAGGGTAAATACTGGAAAAGTTAAAATAAATTACAAAGCACTAAAATAGGCATATGACACACTTAATACATGTTGTAGCTTTTTTTGAGATCTTTTAGAAAAAATTTACAATATGCATGTATGGTGTGCTATTTAAGAAAATCGAGATTTTTCAATTTATGATATATACAACACCCCGAAGCATCTAATTCAAATTCTTGTAAATATATTTTACGTCATTTTTAAAAAAAGCTAATATCATATATGAGTGATCTACCGTTTGAAAATAATGGCGTATATGGTAGTCGTAAAACTAGTATTTTTTTATAAAACTTAAAATATTGGAAAAACTATTAGGTTAAATTTAAAACACTTTTTTTAAATGTGTGTTTTATTAATCGCGTGCTTTTTGAGCTACCCTGTATGCTTTAAAATAAATTTGTTTATTATTAAATAAAATATTAATTTTTCATATTTACGCTTTTCTATAGGCAGGATGTAAAAATGTAAGGGCAACCTCGTACACGTCTCATGACAAAAATGTTCATCCCCAACCGAGCCCCGAACTCAACCGCCCCAATCGAGGTCATCCGCGTCGTCGTGAACAAAAAAACGAGCCACCGGTCAATCGGCGAAAACCTGTTCCCTTCTATCGTGAGAAATCCAAGAAAGGGTCAACCGTATGCTAGAAACTGCCCTACGGGTATGCGAAACCGGCCACACTCGGTCAAGTAACAATTGCAACCCCGAAACTGGCATCGCGTAGTGTCCATCCAAAAACCGGGACTCGTTTTTCGAGTTTGTCGACAATAAGTCGATCGGAACTGGTCCGAATTTAAATTTTCATTTTCGAATTTTATTTCGGGCAGTCCGATTTTGAGTTTAACGCCGGCGACATCGTGGCCGGCCATGAATTCCGTTTGGTTTTTCTCCTTTTGAAATCTTGGTGAGTTATGTAGATTTTATGCGCGACCGTTTACCTTTTTTTGAATTATCGCAAGTGCGCTTCAAGATATCGAAGCGAACCCATGGTCTAATGGTCAGAATATGTCGACAAAAAGAGCCTGCTAGATCTTTTTTTTTATTTTCTTTCGGAAATTTTGTGAATTATTTTGTGTTTATTCTGAAATTAGTTTTGTACCGTGATTTACTCCCAAATTTTTGATAGTTTCGTATAAGAAATAGGAAAGTGGCAATTAGAGAAAATGTAAATTACAATTTCTAGCAGTAATAGGAAATTTCAACAATTTAAATAACGCATACCAAATATCAAAACTCAAAACCCAACTTTTAAGTTCCAATAAATAATTCAAATTGTGACACCCGCCTTTGATCGTGACGTCATACCGCTGCTTTTCGATCGATACGGCGACATGTGTTATTCTAAGGTTAAAGGCCGAGAATTATGTTATTTACGTTTATTTTGGGATCGTGTAAAGTGTCTTTTTATTTAACACACAGTGTGTATTTGTGCTTAGTGTGCTTTACATGATAATAACCAACGTGTTTCAGTACAACCCATAAAACGTCAGATAAACTTTTTATTCCTTTACCAGAAAATAAAAGTTTTTTGGTTAACATTATGGTTAGGTTTTACTTTTTTAACATCTTTCACTCTTCGAAATTGCACCCGTCCTACTGCAGTCTCCATAGGCTTTCCAATCTGTAAAAAATAAAGAACACTTTTTGTTTCTTTAAAAACTAGAAGGCTTTAAGCTGAATACAATATTATATTGATTTAAAACTAGTGGCTAAAATCTCTAGGAACACCGTAAAACTCAGCAAAAGAAAAACATAAAAACATATTCGCTACAGTGAAATTATCAGAATCAGCTTTTAAAAATCGGCTTCGTGATTTTCATAATTTTCTTTTTGATACTAAACACAAAAGCAAGCGACTAAAATTAAAATTGAAACACTGATGATGAGCGTGTTGCCGTTCTCTAACGGCTTCTCTATGCTGACGCATATTCTAACCAGCGAATTGACGTCACAACCGGCCACAGCCAATGACAGCGCGCTTCAAAGCGGATTTAAATTTTACATTATTAATTGCTTATATTTGTTACATAGAATTACGAAATTATTTTTTACTTTTATAAGCAATATTTTTCAAATAAAATTTTGTCCAAGTTCCTATTAGTTCTAGGTGCACTTTTGCTGGTAAAGGTCCTATGTAGCGTTTCAAGCATCTTGTAATTGAAAATAAAAATTGTGCAGTACAAAATATAAGATTTTCAATATAGGTTTTACTTTTACGATGTGTGAAGGTTCATTACTAAGAAATTTTAAAACTTACTTTGATATTATATTAGTTGTCCCAAACGTAGTAAAAGTATAAGTCTTTTTAATTCTAATTAATAGTATTTTCTTTCATTATGATTAATGCCTTTCGCACTTTTTTCATATCAAATTTGGAGGCAATATTTTCAGATGTTGTATGCCGATGTTATGCAATGCTCTGCGATCATTTCAATTCCATTCAATATAAATAAAGGTGGCCACATCGAGCATAGCTGCTCATTCAACCCCTTTGACATCACAATTTAAAAGACAATGTTATAATCAAACAACATCAATAAGCAAAGCACTTTAATAGAGTAATAAGTAAAGGAATCTGCTACAACTCTCGATGCAATGCCTTTCAATTTTAGAAAAATTAAACTTCACTTAAATTCTTTCAGAGTCTGAAATATCATCATACTTGTCAAAAAAAATTATTTAATAAACGTCCATGTATCCGATTTCAAAATTCATTGCTAAATAGATATCTCACCTTTCAAAACAATAATTTCTACTATTCGGAAAAAGTCGTAATAAAAAATGGTAAATAAAAGGACGGCATATATCCACAGCAAAAAGTTTGTAACTTTCAAATTGCACACGGAAATGTATTTCTTAACAGTATGTCTCTGCATTTTCAAGACTGGCCGTTCTATCTTCCAAATGTTGAGTAATAAATTATATACTCGCTCCTTTAATTTTTAATTTTTTGTTGTTTGCCCTTCGGTTCATCCAATTTTCTGCTTTTCTGTCTAATAAAAAAAATCCTATATTTCAAAGTTGTATATGCAATCAGAATATTATCAACTTACCCTATTCAACTTATTATTAATTAATTAAGATTCACTTTGCAACAAAATATTTTCTCTTGTCGACAAGTGACGTCGAAAAACGACTTATAAACTAACAACTAACCGAAACCACACTTCAATTCTTGGTTAACTGTTACGCCTTTTTGAAGCCTTATCTCGTTTCTAAAGACTTTGTTGGGTTCAGAAACGAATCGGTTATTTAAAAAAATGCTTAATTTCCCGTATATTAAAACAAAAACAACAAATTTTGAATAAATTAAAAAACTCTAAGGGCTACAATTTTTTAAACTCTGGTATAAATTCTATTAATCTAAACACGATTTGCTAGGGAACAACGTGTGTCCAAATGCGATAAGTGAGAAAAGCTTCTCAAGAGCGTTGGAGGGAACAACTAACCAAAACTTCAATTTTTGGTAAACTGTTAAGCCTTTTTGAACCCTAATCTTTTTCGGAAATTAAATCTACTCATTTTGTTAAGACAAAAGCCCTCTCGTTTTAGTTTTTCTTATTGTAGGATAAATTCTTGCCGACAACAGATGCCGTCTGAAAATAACTCAAGAGTTCTGAAAACGTTGCAGATTTTGCAGGAAGGCTCCTTGCTTTTTCAGTGTGAAACAAACTTCCTGCCTATACTATGTATATGTAAATAAGTTTTTTTCGCCACGTTATGAACTGGCGCACATGCTCAAAGCTCGATCCTGGCAAACAACGAAAGCGTCTTCTGTTAATCTTCGCCGCTGCTATTCACGTTTTAAAATGTCCCAAACGTAAACGGCAAACATTAAGCAAAACGCTGACGGGAATTGCTATGGGGTTGGCGCTTCCCTGAATATTCAGACTTATACTCACTCGGACTTAAGGGAGCGAATCGTAGCCGTTCTCCGGGCCAATGGAAATCTCAGGATTTTAATTGCATCTTAGGTTGCTTTTGTTTCCTCCCTTGAGTTATATCGTCGACAGGGGAACGTGTTCGGGCCTACGATGTATCTTTTAGATTTTTGCCGACGCTAATGAGAAGAGTTTTTCTCCTGGGTATCGATTAAAAAACTTTCAAGTTCCACGCGTTTTCCGCTATCTAAATTGTTAAGGAAGCCAGATACAGAAGACTTTGTTTTTATTAATACTAATACAAAAATAGCAATATGAAGAAAATATGAAATAAAATACCTATTTTTAACCTAAAGTTCTGAAGTCCTTAACGATTTTACGTTTATCGGTACCGAAGAATTATAGAACAAGGCGGAAGTACCCAGAAATTATACTTATAGGGCTCCATTATTTCATTTGATTTTTTACAACCATAATTAGAAAAAAGTTTTTGAACTGAGCTGGCTTTTAATTGACGAAAATCCATTTTGAAAAACGTTTTTCTTTATACGCATTCGCTATCGAAATAAAAACAAAACAAGAGAAAAGCTTTTAGCCCAAAATACCACTCGATTTCCACATGTTCCGTGTTAGTTAAAAGTATTAATGATTTTGTTTATCACTAACTAAGAATAGAAAAAAGTTCACAAGAATTAAGAAATTCTATTTATCGGGTCAGCATAGCTAACCAGAAAAAAGTTTTATTCACTACATACGCATATCGATATAGAAAAATGAGAATCAAGCTCGAGGTATAGAAACGCTGTTCAATTTCTGAGTTCACATTTTTTTTCGATAAGCTCAGCAATGGTGTTACTTACATTTTCATTAAGAGAAAAGCTTCAAAGTGCCTTAAAGATCCTTTAATTATCAATACCAATTAACTGATGAAAATAAGAGAAATGTGAAGAAATTAAGATTGTGGCTTCTTTGTATCAAAAAGAACTGAAAAAATAAGGAAAAGGTGAAAAATGTTAACGTTCAAAAAAGATCTTATCGATTTTATGTTCGTAAAACTTTTACTAGGTTACTAGGAAACTTACTCATGTTTATTGGGCTTTAATTCAACTAATGTTCAATAAGAATGAAGAAATAATTCCGGCCTCTTCACACTATTGTAGGCGTTACGACAGCAGCACCGATATGTGTGCTTAACACTCTACGAATTTGAACAAAGTTCGGAATTTGAGAGGGGCAGTTTTTAATTTTCGAACGGACCAGGTATAGAACGTCCCACTCACTTGCCTCACGGTTGCCGGTTGTGGAAGAAGATGAAGGACTTATGTCTGTGTTATTGAATACGAACTTAAAAGATGTCAAAGAATTCATATTGACTTATACCGTCTTTTAGTCGTCCTTCTTTCCGAATCGTATTTTATGAAAGCTTTACGAGCGTTATTAATATTTTTACATTCATTTTCTTAGCATACAAAGAACCTCAGTGCCCTGAAGTAAAGGGACTTTACTTAATCCTTACATGAAAATTCACCTGCTTCAAGGAAGTCGTCCTTTTACTGCGATTTACTGCGATTTATTTTGGAAGTTCCACTGCTGACCATTCTTTGCGGCAATGATTTATATATCTCCATTTGCAGTTTTTCATGTTTGAACATTTTATACTAGGCTACATACTTTTTCGTTCACTGATAAGGAGAGAATTACTATTACTTCTTTTCATTAGAATGAATGTCGATAATGTACTGGTCATTTTATTTATATCGTTATTACTGTTAACACGATAGATTAATTTTAATTAATCTTTTTAATATTAATTAGGAGTATGTATATAAGTTCATCATCTACCTGAAATATTGACTGAAATAGGCGACCGCTAACTTTGGTCGTATTTAAAAACATGCTTTATACTAGTGTTGCAAAACAAGTACTCTCTCAATTATTTATTGCCTTTTTTATAAATAACTATTGTAAATCACCTAGAGAATGAGGTTATCTCTATCCTTTCCCCGTTTTTTGGAACGTAGCA